TATGAGTACCCCCCCCCCCCCCCCCCCCCTGTTGCAGTCACCAACCGTGCCCCCTGGCGTTTGGACCATTTCGCCTCCATCCCTTTTACCCTATCTCTTCGTGTTATTCGTTTCCCTTCAACCGTACCCTAGGAGCTCACTATTCGCAGGACCCTGAAACTCGACAAGCACAGCAATGCTCACCCTCTGGGCGAACTTCTAGTCATCAGTGACGGCGGCAGCGTGGCCCCAGCCGACCCGGCCAACCTAAGCATCAAGGCCTCATCGGCATCGATTTCCCACCTGACCAGCGTCGAACAGCTCACATGCCAAGGGCAAGTTGAGATCAACGGAGCAGTTTTCATCGCTGGGGACGTTTCGATAGACGGGGAGGTTGGGCTGTCGGCGGGGTTGGATGCCCGAGGCACCGGCGTCAAGAACGCCCGCCTTCAAAACGCGACCTTCGAAGGTGCCATTTCGGGGGACGTTGATGTTGACGGGCACGTCAAAATTGGCACTTTGACGAAGAAGAACGGAGGTGCGCAGGCTGTGGTTGTAGTTGGAGATGAAGGCGAGCTGAGGGCCGCCAAAGGAATGGAATTCAACGACGAAGAAGGCGTTTTCGTCACGGAAATGATTTCAGGTCACAAGGTAGGAAATTCTCATGCACTTTCACGAGAGGTTTCCTCGAGCAAGCAGTGCCATCGATGACTACGTGGTATGCACTCCACCATTGTTTGCAGTTGCCTCCAACGCCGTGATCGTTGCCCCAAGTTCGGCCCCTACACCTAGGCCCAAAAATACTACGAAATGTCCATGGTTCGCTTGCACCATCCCAACACCCCGTCGCCCAGGTTACCGGCACCGTTGACTTTGGAGGCGAGGCACTTCTCTCCCCCGGTTTGAACTTCACAATGGGAGGCGGCGTGTCTGGTCTCCCATCCCTATCGGTCGGGGAGGGGGGGCTTAGCGTTGACGGGGTGCTTAGCGCGGCCTCGGACGTGATGATAGAGGGCTCGGTTACTGTTTCAGGCGCTGTCATGGGCCGCGGGCCTTATATGGATACATCCGATGCGCGGATGAAGATGGAGGTCAAGGATATCTCGGCTTCGGACGCGATGGCCATCATGAAGGGCTTGCGGTGAGACTACGCCAGTGGAGTTGGGGACAGTCGGGGTTCATTTTTCAGCGGATCAACTGGGAGCAAATCTGATGGTACCTCGGACACCCACCCATCACTTGTGTGTTTTCGCGTCTGTGCATGCTCACCCCCTCCATCTTGGCAATGTTCAATAACAGGGCAGTGACGTATGTACTGAAACCCGAGGCCTTCCCGGCATCGAAAGCCGGAAACTCTCAGACGAGCACTCACGGAGATCGTCGCCAACACGGCTTTATCGCACAGGAGGTTGCACAGGTGGCTCCGGAGGTCGTTGCCGAAGACAGCAACGGTTTCAAAACCGTCGCTTACTCCCGCCTGGTACCAACGCTCGCCACCGCGCTGTCCGCAGCGCTTCACCGTCTCGATAGACTCGAAGAAGCACGCGCGTCGACCTCATTACCCGCAAGCACAATCACTGCTGATGAGGCCTACGAAGCCTCTGAAAGGAAAGCTGCTGCCGGGAGGTTGTCTAATGCCATGGCCGGTAGTGGAAGTGCGTACGGTGGCAGCAGTGCTGATAGTGTTGGCAAACGTCCTGCCGTTAGCCCGCAACGCCGCAAGTCGCTGGATGAGGTTTTTCATGAAGAGGGTCGTGTCGGACAGCTTGGTTCGAAGCCGGCAGTCTCGGATCTCACGCAGCTATCGGAGGAGAACAATGCGCTGCGAGTACGGGTTGAGGAGATGGAGAAGAGGATGGGTGGCCTCGAGCGCAGTCTTGCTGGTGTTGTTAACCTTGGGTGGCCACATGAGAGTTAGCTGGCCATCAAGCCGCAGAAGAAGCAACGTCGTCGGCAATGAACGCTGGAATGTAGCGTAACGAAATGTCTCAATGCGCACACGTCTTCGGCATCGACAGGCGGGGGAAGCCCTGCCCAGACCCTGAACTCCGCCTGTTTTCTCCTCCCAGAACAGAGGCAGCACATGGTTCGTAATAGAGGGGTGTGTCCGTGTACACACGTCCGAAAACGTTGGCAATACATAACGTGTCACATGACAAAGCGTACTGAGTACGCGGACGTATGCAATTCTAAACCTTTTCGCATGGCTGCGCCTTACCTAGCGAAGGCTGCTTGCCATCGTGCATCTATAGTAGTGGACGTGATCCACTTGTTGTCGTTTGTGCATGCGGGTGTTTAGCACCCCCCCAAAGTTGAACTGATGCACACCGCATGGCCGCGTTTAGAGTGGCACCTTGCCGACATGCCATTGTACCTCTGGGGATCAAGAAAGAACGGAAAGAGAGTCAGTGGTTTTGGCCGTATGAACTTCTCGGGATGGTAATGAAATAGTGGACCGACAGGTAGCGTGTTGCACTCATCGCGTTCGTCGGAGCACCAGCGCGTTGTTGATCGAGCGCCCGGGTCCAGTCACGTGAACTACATTAAAGTTTCGTTTTGCTGCGATCACGTGTTCTGTCTCTGGCGAGGAAGAAAATACCTCACAAGAAGTGTATGTTTCGTTCACTGTTCAGAGTTCAGAATACTGGATGGGTCCATCACAACAAGTTATGGATACCTTAAGACTATGTCGCAAAGTCCCTTTCAGTGTATGAGGCCACCGCAACAACCACAGCGATCCTGCCTTACAGGTTGCGAGAAGAGGTAGATCATTGGCTGCAGTAATCAGGGTGGCGGTAGTTGCGGATGAATGAGTGCCGAAGCGAATCTGTCTTCTACCATTGTATGTAATCGTATCGGTAATTATTCGCATGACACGGCACCAATTTGAGTTCTCCTTGGCCCTTGGGAAGACGCCCAGGAAAACACCGCCATGGTCGATCGTGCAATGGAAGTCCTCGGGCAAGACTGTTCATCAGCCAGGGCCACACGTGAGGAAGGCAAAAGCTGAAGTATACCAACGCATGGGGCGAGATCCAGACGACGAGGCGCATCAATCATGTGATCATACGGGAGGGGATTGGGAACAACGAGATTCCATCCTACACGGCTTGCCGGAGTACTTCATGCTAAGTTGTAGCTGGCCCGACTCTTCCTCATCGTACCCAGATGCAATCGTGAACAAGGACTATACTAAAAAATAACCACATCATATCAGGGGTAACGAGAGGGAGGGGATATGCGAAAAAAACGCTAGGGGGATACATAGGCTGGTATTCTTGACACTTCTTCGATCACATGTAGACCGGTGAATCTCGCTACACGTTTTGCCATCTTCTCGGCTTCAGCCGTGGCCTTTAACTGGGTCTGTTCACGCTTCTTCCCCTGTGTCTCCCTCACTACAGTACAAAAAAACGTTCCGAGTCACTCGTGCCATCTGCACTCGCGCGGCGGAGGTTTATGAGGAATGCCTTGGTACATGCATCCCTGCAGTAGAGCCTCGATCGCCTCTATGCATACTTCCAGAAGTCGGACTTTTAATCTCCAAGGTGAAGCGCTCCTGGCAGTACTTTCGGATACACGCCCAAGTGGCTCTGCCCTCACGGTTGATCTCCCGCCTGAGCTCATCACCTTTTCTGACACGGCCAAGGTGTTGGAACTCCGCTGTCTCGGGGTATCTCTGTCTCGCTGCTTCGATCGCCAATGGAGCCTGAAGGTGGTGGAGGTGGCGCTTCCGCCGTCGGCTTCTTCTCCGTCACTGGCACCCCAAAGGCTCCAAACATCGACAGAGCCATGTAGGTCACTATCCTCACCAGTCCTTCGGACGATCTCGACGTGAGACCGGCGTCGTCAACGTTCAACATTGCCCAACCGCGTTTGGTTCTTGTTCCAGTGGTATCGTTGCCCTCGTCCTCGCCCCAGTCTCCTCGACGTATAACAGATCGCTGGGAATGACGTCATCTGATCTAGGCCATACTGCACAGCAATGACCTCGATCGCCCTCGCGGCAAAAAGAGAGTGGGTGCAATTATCTGAGACGCATGAGACGCAACGGTTATAGTTCAAAGCACGTCTTCTGACAGAAAAGAGACAGATACACATATCGTAGACAATGCTACACAGTCTACTTGTACATCCACTGAGCGTCACGAGTTTCGCCACTTTACAGGGATTAGAGAAATTTGGAAAACGTTTCGCGTGAAGAGATTTAGATGGAAAAAGCTTTGACATTCAGATCTTAAGGCTCCGGCTCTGGGAACGGACCTATGCATGCATCGTGGAGGAACGTCAACTCTTAACACTGAAAAAGAGGGCTTTCCGACTAAGAAATATTGCGACCCGGCGCCGATTGTTCCTGAATCTTCAGTTGCTTGCGGGAGACGGACTTCGAACACCCACAGCAGCAGTATAGTGTCTGGCGAAGTGTAAATGTTGATTAGACGTAGCAAGCTGTTGGTGTTTTTGTTGCCGCCAGTAGCACCAACCCTTCAGTGTTGTTAGCCTTTCCACGCCGAAGCGTGACCTCCACAACACATTTCCTCAAAAAGGAATGTTTCGTCTAATTGTAATCTGAGTAGAGGTCGTCCGTATTCCGAAGCTGTCATTCCAAATGTAATGTTTGATGTATTACTACCGCTGTACTTCAGTAGTATGCATGCATGTATTTGAAAGAGTGTAAAGTACAGTACATCGCCTCACATCCATCCATCATGCACCTACCTGGCTGGTCAGGTTTCACCATAGACTACAACAACAGCTGCAATCAAACGTGAACACTTCTAGTCTAGACTACTGCCTGTAGATTGTACATGTACACCTTACAAATCATCAGGAAGTCGACGGAGATTAATCGAAACCCGCATGAGCACAAAAAACATCAGCGCGTCACAAAATCGGATGTGACACGGCGGTTGCTCGTGTGGCATGCGCATACGATATGTTCGCCAGAACTAGTCGGGAAAGAAACGAGATTGATTACTGCCAACTGCTGCTGTAGGAAGTAGACTTCAAGGTGTGGCTCACGCATCAACAAGGTGGTGCTGAGGTCGGCTGCGTCCTTGCTAGCGCCAGCGTCTCCAACGTAATAATATTTCATCTCTCTCAGATGATGTCGGGAATGGCGGGTGTTTCCAAGGCCAAGGCTTCTACAGCAGCAGCACTCTGCGGGCAATGGAATGCATGCACGTGAAGCGGCGAAGCGGCGCGATCAATCATCGAGTATGATTCTGCGGACCCTCCGATCAGCACGCCCCTGCAAGGATGCCTCCAAAAATCACTCCGGCGTGCCCCCGGAGCTAGCGATCTGTCCCGTGCCATCGAGTCACCACAGCAGTGCGGCGCTCAAGGGACATCCCCAAGACAAGTGCCACAGCTTTCTATCGAGCTTCTCTGTCACCAATCGAAGGAGAGCGCACCAGAGATTTCAAGAAGGAAAAGAGACGCAAACGTGACATACGCAGAACATCCAGGAAAACACAACACAACAGCACAAGAGGTCACACCCGCTGTGACCTGCCGCGCTGAACATGGGGCTCACAACGTCGTCTGAGGCTATTGGGCGTAAGATAATTAATGGCATGTAGTGGTTTCAACTGTTTGTTGTTGTACAGTTTTGTTTTCCCTCGGCACACAAGATCTCGACAGAAAGTTGAACGATTGTTTTGTGTACACGCGGCTCCGAGGATGCGATGTGCCGGCTGTCGGCCACAACTCGCTGATTTGATTGTACATACACATATGATGCAGGGTGACCAGCTGAGGATGACAGCCAACGTTGGAACCCCCCCCCAGAAGTGTTGCCAATGCGCTGCTTAGTTGTTTTGTTCAAGGATGCGTTTTAGCTGTTTCACTCCTACTGCTGCACGGCGTGGCCATAGGGTCCATCTCCTCGCTCCTCCTGCGTTCTTGTACTGTGTATGCACCTCAGGTCATATGAACCAGGTCAGCGCAGAAGCAACTGAGGACCAAGCTGACTCTCACTTGCCGTCATCGAATGTGAGAAAATTCTTCATGATAGCAGCGTGAAAGTACTGGCGTGCAGCCGTTTACTTTTAGGCTCTTGATAGCTGAAAGCAGTTTTCTCCGTTTCCGGATAACTCGGTCCGGAATTGTATTAAAAAAAGTTGACTAGCCTCTAGCTGTTGTACCAGCACTGGGAGTATACGAGTATTAAGTGCTGGTAGACTGGCAATCGGTTCATAACCTGAACCAAGATATTTGGACGCCAACCAATCGAACGATCTTCCGGTTCAGAAAGTGTTAATGTTCGAAGCCAAGGTAGAGGACATCATGGAGCAGCGACACGTGCGTCGGCACGCCCTGATCTCCTGCTGGCACCGTGCATCCGGATAATGCAGCTGCAGCCCGAAATACCCACAAACTTCGGGCGGTCCATACCTTGCACGGCTGCACGCGCCATCACAGACCCAATATCCGGCACTGCGGGTGTACAGTAGAACCTCACACCGCTGGCCGACGTGGACGACCAGCGGCTTGGGGCATCGGATTAGTGATGGCGCGTGCAGCAGGATCGTTTCATGCTGTCGATCACATTTGGACATTTGGATCCAGGTTTGGGGACTCTCGGAACGCGGCTTCTGCCGTCGATAGCACGCCCCCAGAGCCCCAGAGACAGATTTGGGCATTCCGATGCGCATGTCATGTACCATGATACTAGACCGTCGGTATATTACCCGTTGCGAGTCGGGCTCGCTAGACATCGGTGGTGCGCGTGATGGCCGCTCAAAAGTCGCTAGGACTGGCTGTATTTCACGGGTCGCGAAGCCGAAACAAATAAGCATTCGCAGGATTTACAAAACATTTCATTCATCCGCACAAGAGGCCTTGTTTTTTTTATCTCGTGCTCATACCACACACCACACATTCCATACACCACGAGCAAGGCCGTATACAACACAAGACGTAGAGAGAGAGCAAGAGCAGCGGGTTTTACAGCAGTACGATCTGCGGCAAAGACGCCGCTACCCTATCGTATGTGCGCTTGGGACTCACCAGGCCAACTGCTGTATAGCAGACAACACGTACAAACAGGGAACGATACCGGCTCCAATTGATTCCCGATTACCCGCCGGCTACTTCGTAAGAGGAAATGTTGGTTATACTACCCGCCGACTGATCACATAGATTCTGCACAGAAACATCCGAGCGATGACCGTTCATATACCCGCCGAAAAGCATGCAGGTGAGGAACACAGCAGCCGTCTGTGCTTCAGCAGTAGTAGGATCTACGGCAACGGCATCGCGAGACGCGAGGGCGCACGCGAAGAGTAATGGCAAAAACGAAAGTTTCCCCGCAAACTGATGCGAAATTTCTTGCAGTTGGTTTCTGCCGAAACTAACCTTGGCACTACTGGAGGTAGGTTGAGATATACAACGAGGCAACCATGATAGCAGTATCCATGTTCGCTTGCGTCGCCCCCGGGAGGCAAGTGCACCTACCTTTCGAAGGGCAGCCTTGTACTCTTTGCCGCCTTGGCTCTAAAATACGACGCGTGTAAACGCAGTTGACTTGTTTAAGCACCCGCCGTATCACCTGTGTTGTGTTGAATATTGAGTTTTGGATTTTTTTCTTGATTTGGAAGCCAGTTGTATGGGAAAGACTTAGTTAATTGTCATATTTATTGGAATAGACAAGTCCTATTTCAGATACATTCAGCACTTTTTCGAAGTCGGAAAACTCACGTCGATGTTCTCGAAGGGCAATTGACAAAATGGGGAAAGCCCCGCGTGTTCGGGCACAAAATGGGGTATGCTTTTTTTTCGGCGTGGGGAGCAACGCCTAACGCCGGGTAAGCGCCATTAAACCGCCTTCTAGCGCTTTAGTCCCATGCGCAAGATCCTTTGAAAGTATGCCCAGCTATTTTTTTTCCTTTTTACCCACAGGACCAGAGTCAACTAGGGCCTGGAAGAGGGGAGCGTGTCGGAGGAACCCATTTTGTTCACGCAACCGCGGGGTACACACACACCCCTGTATGATGAAAAATTATTAAGTACCCCCTCGTCCGTACACTTGCCCCATAATGTTCAAGGCATACCGCTTTTTGTTCAGTGGTGAGGCTCCTGCGGACTGCCAAAATGACAACCAACAACCAATCGCAGACCTCCATATCTCTGTATCTTGTGTCTCCTTGCCTCGCCGCAGACCACAACAAAGCCTGTATGTTGCACCGCAGACCACCATACTCCAACATCTTCTGTCGCCACCACACCCACGGTGGTCTGCGGTTGATTATTGGTTGCCATTTTGACAGCCCGCAGGAGCGTCACCGCTGAACAAAACGGGGTATGCCTTGAACATTATGGGGTACGTTTACGGACAAAAAGGGGTACTAGAAAAACTTTTTTAGCTGATAGGGGCGTGTACCCCGCGGTTTCGTGAACAAAATGGGGTCGTCCGACAAACTCCCCTCTTCCAGGCCCTAGTTATCCCTGTTCCTGTGGGTGAAAAGGAAAAAAAAGCTGGGCGTCCTTTCTAAGGACCTTGCGCCTGGAGTTAAAGCGCTAGAAGGCGGTTTAAAGGCGCCTACCCGGCGTCAGGCGTTGCTCCCCACACCGACAAGTAATATACCCCATTTTGTGCCCAAACACAAGGGGTATACCCCATTTTGTCAATTGCCCTTCAACAAATCGAAATATTAGTAGTTATGAAATCGCAAAAAATTATCTCGGAACAACTGGGAGGAATGTGCAGGCCATGCAACGGGGATAGGAAGAAGGATCGTAAGAGCAATGAGATTAGGGGAAAATCAGTTACTTCCAAGTACGACAATGGTATCAAGTACCTCCAAAGACACCTGTCAGACCGATTGTTCAAGGCTCAGATTCAGGACTATAACGTCGAGCGATGTGTTGAGCACCAAATAATCGTTGCAATTCACGCCCCACGGAACGAAACGTTCTCCCGCATTTTGCTGCGAAGAATGCGTATGGCATGATCCCGTTCATGTCACAGTCAGCAGTCTTCGTCGTTTGGCGTTCTTCTTGTTGCCAAAGAGTGTTCTACGTCGGGTTCCACTCTGCTCAGATCTTGAAGGCCCGTGTCTCTGTAATGCAGGGGGTACCGGTGGCAAAGGAAACCGAAAGCGTTGATAACAGCACGACTACCGCAGCGTCTGCACCATCGGAGACTGTCCGAAAGCGAAAATGCGAGCAAGACGAATACAGGCCGACTGTGCAGCAAAAGGCAAAGAAGCGGAAATTAAAGACCGGATCCAAACGTGCCTCGTCAAAGAAGGCTAAGCCCGTGAAGAAGGCGACGACCGTCCAACACGGTGTACAGGAAGGGGGATTGCTGGAGGGGTCGACGACAATGGGACATAAGGGCACCGCCAAGATCAACCCCCACAGGGCCAAGATCCTGATTGGCAAGCAAGCCCTGGCTGCCATTAAGGAGGGAACAAGTAAGATATACATGCGAAAGAGCATTTTTGTTGGCAGGTGGCCAAGCGCTTTCTTTTGACCTATAGATTGAACGCTGACGCTGTTTGGTCAAGTGCACTTCGCTGATTTCGGAAGGACCACGTTCTTGCTGAAATTTAAGAGATGTTAATTTTGAGAGGTCCGCCTCTATCGAACATATCTGTGAGACCCAATACCCCAATCATGAGTTGGCTAACAAGCCCTGGCCTTGATCGTGAGCCTATGTTGTGAAGGATGTAGATGTGGCGCACGGCTAAATCTTATTGGCCATCCAACCAGAACCCACAAAGGGCAAGATTCCACGCCAGAAGCCACCTATAGAAGAATGTGAAAGTGAACAATAATCATTGTGCCATCGAAGAAAGCTATTTTAAACTGCAGGGACTGAGTGTGCAGTGGGGCATCCATGGCAGGCCCCATCACGCCTCGCGATTCGATTGCGTCCATTTTCTCTGAATGATGGACGCGAAGGTTTGTTTCCGCTTCACTCAGGCACGCACCCTCAATCACGTGCAAGACCCTAATTGCTTAGTTGTGTTTTGTGCCACTTTCCTGCTGTTAATCCTGTTGGGCGCAAACGGAATCGACACGAAAATGCTCAATGTTTCCGATGAGAAATTGTCAAGAGAAAAGGGCGAAATGGGAATGGGAGGAGTAAGGCCCTATGCTACACGGCGCGTTGCCCGATTAAGCTCGCCGATCATGGCAGTATTCCAAGGTTCCCTTCAGTACAGTACCAATATGCTTAGTACAGTATCGAAACCCGTACTAATGTCCCAGTACAGTACAGTATGGGAGGGCTGAGTACTGTACTCAGCCCAGTATAGTATGGAGTACCGTACTTAACGTACTTTTGTTTTGAGGACAGTATTGAAAGCTGTACTAAACGTACTATTGCTCTTAGTACAGTATAGAGAGCCGTACTAAACCCCCAGTACAGTACAGTAGGAGACCTGTACTATATCTACTATTTCGCGTAGTACAGTATGGAGAGCCGTACTAAACCCCCAGTACAGTACAGTACGGCCCTATACTTGCTGAAATACTGGAAAGTACGTTAAGTACGTACTGTACTAAAGGGAACCTTGCAGTATTCGTGTCGCCCTCTACGCATTCACCACGTTGTTCCTTTTTTCGCGTTGTTCGCACAACTCGAACTCCCGTATGCCGATCCTTGGACCCTCTCGATAGGAATATTTATCAAGAGCGGAGAAGGCAACGGTGGAGACACATGGTGGGACAGCGGAATCGTCCAAAAGGTGAGGGTGATATCCATTCAGGGCAGCAGGGGCTGGTGATGACGTGCATGGTTGGGTCGATATGAATGCTCTTGTTATGTTTCAAGCTTCATACGCCGTTGCGGATCGCACCACAGCCAGCTCTATGATAAACCCTACAAGGCTAGAGCACCTCGTCAGCTCTCTTGACCACACACCCGTCATTGTTAGGGGGGTTGTGAGGGTTTCAACATGCACCGGAAGTTTGCGATCCGTTGCCCATGTGGTGGAAGGTCCTCGAGCATGCTCAACCACCGTGGTTTGCGCCCTATGGCCACAGCAGCAAGTCTCGGCACTTCAGTCATATTGGTCTCTACGTCGTAGATTGTCTTTGAGCGCTTGTGAGCCTGCTATGACAAGCGCTGGGCTGATTGCGCGAGCGATCACATGCTCCGTGGCGTTTCTCCACGGGAGAGATCTTTGTCACGAACCTACATCGTATTTCCATTGCATGGGCAAGGATCCATTCCCATGGTTTTTCATCTAGGTGGCATTGGCGGCTTGCCCAGTAAATGCGGCCTCAGATGCCACGCCGCTGCTTCTTGCAGTGTTTTCGAATTGTTGTCTATGTTTGTCAACGACGAGGTTCTCGCTGGGAATGGCCAGTACCGCCGCTCTGCAAGTTCGATTCATACCATCTTCTCGACGACGCGACCCAATGGAGCAGTTCAATAGATGCTGTCAGCGTTCATTTGGAGCGATCTTTCGTTTGCACACTCCAAGTTGTTTGGTGGGTCAGCATTGCGTTTGTCGAACAAGACTGCTGTACCCCGTTCTTGACGTTGCGTTTTCGTCAATGAAATACTTCGTTACTTCATCAACACGGTGTGCTGACCTTGCGATGGGAGCAGCGAAGTTTTTTTCCTTTGTGCTGGTTGTTGTAGTTGAACTGCGTGGTCTGCAATGTGGTACCGATGGTTTCGAAGCACCACGGGACGTCCTCACTTTCATCTGACACTTGCTGCCTCCGGCATGGTGGGCCGTCTGTTGCTTTCTCTCGGTATTGGAAACCTCGCCAGATCCACGAGCGTGGCAAACCGTACGAGGTCGAGTGGCAAAAGATGAACAACAGGGGCGAGGAGGTTCGTTTTGAGTCTGCGACAGTGTTCGACAATAACCTTCGAAGGGTTTGTACGTACTCCGTGCAATCGTATACGAACACGTGAAGTTTTATTTTGTTTTTATTTTTTCTCGACGTTTGTGACTGAGCGTGTTGACAATGTCGATGCCATGTCTTCGATACTTCATGTGATGGATTGCGCCAACTTTGACGACGTGTACGTGTATGACGCTCAAACGGAAAGTTGGAGCCGACGCCCACCGTGACGAACGGAGCATACACCCGCGTTCATTCGAATACAAACGTTTCCCGTAGAAACACCACCTCTTGACTCCGTGCTAATATTGGGTCGTGCCGGCGCTTCATTCACTCAAGTGACCTGGGGCACGGGGGGTTTGTAGACAACGCTTGCCAAGCCCCCAAGGGCTAAGAATTCTCCAGCAAAGAGTTTAAGATTCCCTCAACGTACTCTCGTAACCACAGGTCGACACTGACGTTGAGAAGCGTATCATCCTGCCGGTAACGTACAGCCTCGCCGGAGTGGCGGCCGAGGCGATCAAGGGAGTCGAGTTGGGAACCGAGGCGGCCGCCTCCGTGATGAAGAACGTCCTCGCTAAGGCTCGGCTGGGGTCTTGGTGCATTAGCCACCCCGAGGAACCGTGGGGTATGCTTGATCCCTTCGGGGAGGACTCTACCCCGAACCCCGTTTCAGAGGTCACAAGGCCATCCATCGAATTGAGTGAAACGTCTTCCTAAGATTACCGACCTAATCTGGTTTTCGTGGATGGAATACAATTTACGAGTGTTGGGGTTATACCATTTTCGATCGCCTAGCTGCCTGGGAGAGGGGGCTCAAGGATTTCGTCGGCTCCTTGAGTTTATCGGGTTGCGAGCACAGGATGCGTAGGAATCTGGAGGACTGTCGTTTTGTTGTAGTGTGCTACCATCAAGGGTATCTTCGGTAATGGGTAAGGGAAGCGATATTTGGATCCTTTTGGTCAACGACGGATCGGGCGCGGACGCCCATTCTCAAGGCGTGAATAATTCAACCCTACGCTACGTGTTTGTGGAAAATATTCTTGATTGTAGTGTTATCGATGTGCGATTGGCAGCCGGGCACCAGCCGGCCTGTACGGTCCTCTGCAGCACACGTTGTCTTTGTCATTAGACTGTCTTCAAGCAATGGGACATTCGTCTCGGTAGCGCGAGTCTGCGTTTGCGTTTGCGTGTACAACAGTAGTAGTGAATCAAGCGAGGAAAAAAGGCTGCCGAGTAGCAGAAGATAATTTCGTAATTCTTTTATAGACTAGTACGTAGAATCATTGTGTCGGATGCGTTTCGTCCTTGAAGGCTGTGGCAGTGGTGCATGTAGGATGCTGGAGCGGGCCACAATGTCGAACCCTGTCCGCAGCCCAACTTGGTTTCTCATCGACAGCGATGTCCAAGACTTGCGGACGGGTGCATCCCACAAGCCTCCTGAACATTGGGCTGTAGGAACACCGGGAAAAAAGTGATACATCATTCGGACCGGGTGGCGGTTCAGCTTCAGTAGCTTAGGCAGCAGTATACTGCTGTAGTTCGTCCGCACATAGGTTTTAGTCTAGTCTACAGACCAGATGGAAGCAAACTCGTAGTTATGTTGACCCTTCCTGACGAAGTGGTTTAATCTCTCCGTGAGTGAAAACTCCGCAGAAAAAGGCACAGCAAGCCGTAGTACATGATGAATAGAAGGGATTACTGAACGTTCTCACACAATGGTTATGTTGGCGAGCACCCGCCGCGAAGGGAGGAAAGGATCGGGTGGAGAACCACCCTATCTTGTTGGTTGTTGTTATCCTCGCACTACAAGTCTCTCAGGTCTCTTGTGAGAAGTTAGTATATTTCATGCAGTAGAATGCGTTCCAACTAACAACTGACGCGGGCGCTCCATCACAGGGTACCTCAAAAAGGGGAATAATATTAGAAACAAAAGACAAATCCGGGCGGCGATCCAACCTGGAAAAAGATAAACAGAACATGGGAATATGGGGACCGGTCCATCCATGCAAACGGAGAGATCCCTTCGTTCCAAAAACGGTAAGTTAATTATGAACTATGCCACGAATCAAGTTTGCCTGTGGATCTTGCATCATGTACCTACCTACCTTCGCCCTATAGGTGGTCGGCCGGGGGTAGGTGTATTGTGTACATACTTCGCCGCCGCCGGGGTACACCGGCCAAGCCATCTCTAAGCCAATAATCGACTGTGATTGTACGGTCGGTGCACTCCACCGGACAAGCCAACAGATTGGAGACACCACATAAAATTGACCTGAATCTATTTTTCTAAACGATATTTTTATTATTTAAACAACACATGCAGACATGCTGCGACTTTATCAGTCTAGAATGCCACGACGATAATCGTACCCCAGTCGAAGTACTCCATGATGATTCGCCAGCATGGTTGAGACACGAACCGAAGGCGCGCACCATGGGACCGGCACCATGTCAGGCGATGATACTGGAACAGCGCGATTTGATCGAAACCCGGGGATGCAGCTCGTATTTCCCCGCCATCAGTGCAAAAAGAAACATTTGCGGAGTCGTGCCGCACCCAGCCACCGGCACACTCACAACAGCAGTCGACGTACGATGACGTCCGATGCCCAGCTCCAGCAGCTCCAGCTAGAGATCGATGATGTGTCGAAGCAGGTCACCAAAGTTTTGATCAACTCATCAGCCGTGGAGGCCGCCATCGCGGGAAAGGGCACCTACCGTGGGTACTCCGGGGAGGACGTGTTTTTGAAACACAACCTTTGGGCTGTGCAGAAGGAGATGCTGAAGCAGCTGCGGCGGAGGGAGCGCAAGCTGGCGAAGCAGAAGCTGCAGCTGCTTCAGCGAATAGAACAGCAGGCGCCACCAATAGGTGAGAGCCTTAGGGTTCCCTCGCGGTACATGTGTCTCTTGCTATGGACGGAATAAGCGCGAAGTTGTTTGGTGTGGTGATTGTTCCCCTTTTGCGGAGCCACTACAATGAGGTGCACACGTGCACACGTTATTTACAGTGTTGGCAGCAGCGGCAGGAGCAGCAGCAGGAGCAGTAGCCAAGGATCTTCCCACCTTCGATGTACCCGCATGTATGCATAATGCTGTTTTGCCCCTTTCACGACAAAAATTCAAACATCCACAGCAGGCAGCATGCCGCACGGGAGCTCGAGGTTTTTGCGGCGTGTCTCTACCGGTACCTCTTCATCACAAGAGTAGTGTATTGCTTAGACAAGTATACATCCTGTGGTGGAACACACTGCTGTAAACCAGTACCGCGGGTACACAGCAGACAGCAGACACTAACTTCTTGACCGTAGATGACACTCCAGGATATATTGGCAATGGATCACACGTGTTGCCGCCTAGATAGGAAATTGAAGAAAAAGGTACAAACAAATTACGCCGCCTGTTTCGGCAGGATCAAATTTGTTTCATCCCCTCCCCAGATTGGACAGGCCTGAGCCCACGGTTCTTTCACCACCTCGTGCTCATCACACAGACCTCGGCGTGCCATCACCGTACACGGACACCTCAAGCAGGCCATATCCTCCACTGGAAAGCTGATTTTACCCGTTGATTTTGCTTTGGACGCCAGAAATGCCTCACGATCACATCTGAGTTGAACCAGCTTTCTGCTGCTTCGCGCAACTTTTTTCGCGCTTGTGAGGCAACTTTCACCTACGGTGGCCGGGACACTGCGGTCCCCCGATTCGGCCGATACTTGGCCACAGCAGAGATAAAATACCGTAAAACGAATGCATGATGTGGACGATTTGGGATCTCCTCTGCAGCGACCGCAGTTGGCCTGCGAAAGCTGGCCCAAATTCCACCCTAAACTCCAGTATAGTGGTCAGCGGGGGAGGCCTCCAGAACGATCCGGCGTCTACCTCCGAAAAGATGATAAATCCAAGCCATGGAAACACGCAACGGTCCTTCAACCCGCTTGGCCGAATAACGCATAGAGGATGTGCACGATTTGGGATCAGCACTACAATGAGAGTGGTGCAGAATATCCATAAGTCCCTCGCGAAAGACTGCCTCCGGATGTGATTCCACGATTTATTTTGTCTGCATAAAATAGCTATATTTAGTGCAAGGCGTCCTTCCGCAGTTAGGAAAAGAGGGCACCGCGGCAGGGGGTGATCCAAGAGCATGCAAAAAGCAAACAAACACAGATATAGATATTAGAGTACGCACTGTTCGTTCCGCGATTGCCGTTTTTCCTGATGCTGCGTCTCCCACCGCCGCCGCGAATTCCAGGCCGCCACACGACTTGAAATTCATCAGAGCCGTATTGTTGCCCAGGAAACGCACACACACACCCTTTGCGACAGGCGGGCAGAGAAGCGTTGTATTCGCGCGTTTTGCATGCAAACAGTATGTTGTAGGGCCGTGACCGTAGCATCATGGTGTGTGTCGCACATTCCGGAGCAAAGAAGTAGAGGCCACGTGGATGGATGTGGATGTATGTATTTTATGGGAAGGTGGGACTGATCGAATGAATCCACCGACAGGAGCACGCGTGTGTGTGTGTTTATTTTTTTTAAACATTCAAATGGAAGATGGATACACGTAAGCAGACACAGCCAAACTATCACGCAGTACGTACCATATATTCACACGTACGTACCGTGAACCGACCACGACGGNTTTTGCATGTCTTAGCGGTTAGACCATTGACCACGCGTCCTCGAGAGGACGGAGCATTGTTCCCACAGGACCGATCACCGATGGCCAATCGTTCCTTTCTACTTTGCCAAAGGTGGCTCAAAAATGTCTTCCCTAGTCCGTCTATCCTATCTATATCCCTTCCCGAATTCTCAACCCACCTCTTATGCCCCATTACAGCCACCGTCCTTTCCTCTCTATTCCATGCCTCAAGCATTTCCCTGTACGTCCTATCTATTTTTCCCAGCTCAGTCACGTACACTTCCCTCTCCTTCTTGTACAACGGACATTCCGCGACTACATGAACACGGTCTTCGCATTCGAAGCCGCAATCACATTTGAACTCGTCGTCTTCCTCGTCTACCGTCCTATGTCTTCGTCGACGTTCTCGAAGGCCTATGTCCCCGGTCCTGAATTTGACCTTAAGCTTTGTTCCTGCATCCATTGGTCCATGTAGGTAGTCCTTGAACCCTATTCCTTCCTTCAACATTCCGTACACTTCTAGACCCTCCTTATCCTTGGATTCTTTCCTCAGATTCTGTTCTTCTCTCTCGGCACAAGCAACAGATATCTTCTCCTTGAACCCCTGTAGACCCTCCGTTTCCAGCGTTTCATCTTCGTCGATGTCGAGCCCCTTCCATACGTCCTCTACAACCTTGACCCATTCCGTGGGTTGTCTACCCCTCTTTTTGTTTGCCCACTTCGCCTCCCATACAATTCTCGGCAACCTCTCCTCTCCCATCCCGCACATGCGATACTGCCAGGTCAGCTTCCTCGCGTCTCTTCCCGACCGTAGGGATTGGATCCCCAATTCTGCCCTCACGGCTGCATTACTTGTGCGCCTGGAGCATCCTAGGATGGTTTTCGCTGCTTTCATCTGCGCCGCCTCGAGTTCTTTCACTACCTTCTTATTTCCTTCCCATACTTCTCCGGCGTACTCTAGCGGCGGTACGATTACGCTCTTCAAAACCGTCAATGTGATGCGTGTATCAAGGTGCCGGTTTGCGAGTATTGGGTGCGGCTTTCCTGCTCGTGCTTTGCCCTTTTCCGCTACCTTGGACATGTGTGCATTCCACGAGCAGTCTTTTGCGATCTCTACTCCGAGGTATGTGTACTGGTCCACTACTGCAATCTCCTCGATCCCCCACTTCCATCTATGTTCTAATGTTCTACTGGTTCCTCCTTGTTCTCGTTGCATACCATGACGGCACACGTTGGCAGGCAATCTCCACTTATCAGTAAACTTCTTCGCCGCGTCATTTTGCAAATTTGCAGTT